GCAGAAACTGAACGCCTCCTTCCAATTGCTCCCGGCCTAATCTGTCTGCCCCCCTGTACCCCTCCTCATGCTGCGCCAGGCCCCGAGTTGTCTGGGCCCCCTACCGACCCCCAAAAGCTGCTCCCAGGCCCGTAACTGTCATGGGCCCCTGTACCCCCCCGCCCCCCCATCTGCTGCCACTCCAGTTTGTGTCATGGTCCCTGTAAGGCCCTCCCATTGCTGCTGCCAGGCCTGTAATCTGCCATGGGCCCCCGTACCGACACCCTCATGCAGCAGCCCCAGGCTCCCGTAATCTGCATGTGCCCCTGGAAACGCTGCCATCCTTCATGCTCTGCCAGGTCCAGAGTCTCTCATGTCCCTGTTATCGGGCCTCCCATTGCGCTGTCCTATCGCCCACACTCTGCCATGTGCCCCTTTCAGGTCCTCCTCCACACGGCTGGTTGTTTCCCAATTTTTGTCCAATATGGTGCTGTATAGCCTCCCATTGCAGCTGCCCTCCACTGCCACACTGTGGGCTCCACACCTCTGGTTTTGGCCCGCAGTGACTGCCCAAATGAGTGTAAGTGGTGCGGTGATTCTAAGATCGACGGCACTCATCTGCACATGTCCATGACTGCCTGGACAGTATTAATTCTCTTCCCCAGCAGACTCCAAGGGCATTTAAATTAAAGGTACAGTGTTCAGCACTAATATTAAAGTCTCTCTGAAGCCTAGAAACACCCTTATTTTAAGTTAAATTCACAGCGAATATATTCGACTTCGAATCGAAATTTTTCTCTAACGAATTCGCCGAATCAGTCGAATCGAATTTTGAATACATCGCTCATCTCTAATTGTAGCAATGGAAACGAATTATAAAGTTTTTAAAACCCGTTGGTACTTGGTCCCAGCGAGAATCGCAAAATTTACCCCTAATTACTCGCACCAACTGTTTAGAGGTGTTAGGAATGGACTGGCCAGCAATGGTGGGACTCACCTGCCTTTTGATCTGCAGTACCAGGGCTGGCCAGCGGGTGCTCCCAGCAATCAGAGACTCAACCTTTCAGCCAGCTAACACCTGGAACTGATGATACTGGGGTATTTAAGGGATGGCCAGACTTGCAGACTCTGCCTTGGTGTTGTGTTTGTCCTGGGCCCTGTATCTGTCCTGCATCCTGTTTCTGTTCCTTTGCTGACCCTGATCTGAACTGCTGCTGACTTCTCCTGCTCTGATCCTGGCTTGTGACCCTGACCACCCCTCTGTCTGACCCTCTGTACCTCGCTGCTTGCTACCTGCTGAACCTGGCCTGTGACCCCGACCATTCTCTGCTTGCTCCCCCCGTACCTACCTGCCCAATTGATATTGACCCGGCCTGCCTGACGACGCTTGCTTGTATGTACTGTTATCTGTGGGTGGTTGGTTTGGTTTGTTTGCACCGTATTATGTTTAGTATTGCCCTGCGTTTATGTTTGTATGGTTAGTGTTAATAAATTATATTGTTTATCACATTTCTGAAGTCTGCGTTTCCCTGCATCAGTCACACATCTCTGGTCACACCTGGGAGCCCTGACATTACACCAAGGCCAATCCTGACCAGAAGTGGCTGCACAGGGAAGCCATCTTGGCTTGTTGCTGGGAAGGATGGATCTTGATGAGGTTGAGTATTTATATCTGCTAGTGTTTGATGACAGGGAGTATGATTATCAAACTCTGAAGGAGTATACCCGGGATGAATTGCTAGAATGTATACGGCTCGCTCATGTTCTAGTAGATCAGGGCACAGTGTTCTCTGAGGTGCAGCCATTGATTGAGGTTTGTGCAGAGTTGGTTTCATCTGGTTCCCCCGAATGCAGGGATGAATTTTTGCCACCATTTAGTGCAGACCAGGTAGAGTCCCTGGTGTGGTTATTAGAGGATGATGTGGGTTACCTTTTGGAGCGTTACTCCACATGTTCACCACAGACACTGAGAGATTGTATAAACGCAGTGCAATCATTGACCAGACAGACTTTGTGTAAGCTCAGCTTTGTTCAACCCCTACTGCAGACATGGACAGATTTGTTGCACCCAGCCTCAGTCAGCTTACAAAGACCCAGTCCTGCTTCTAACTCTACTCCTGTATTCCCACCAGCTCCTCCTGCCCTGCTATCTACCGCATGTCAGTACCCTGTTCCCACTCGCTGCACCTATCCTGCCTTTAACCCTGTAAAAGAGCCCTCTGTAGCAACTGCTCCCTCTCCTGTTCCATCCTCCAGTTTTTCTCTGTCTCCAGCTGCTCCATTCGTTTGCAGACCTGCGTTTACTTTCAGTGTTCCAGTAGTTAAAACCAGAAAAAAGCGAAAATTCTTTCCAACCAATACCATCCTGCCAGTATCCAAACCGGAGAGCCTGCCTTCCGTGGTTCAGCCTGAAGCCTCTCTTCAGCCTGATGCCGGTACGCAGCCTGATGCCTCTCTTCAGCCTGATGCCTGTACGCAGCCTGATGCCTCTCTTCAGCCTGATGCCTCTACTCGGCCTGAAGCCTCTACTCGGCCTAAAGCCTCTACTCGGCCTGATGCCTCTACTCGGCCTGAAGCCTCTACTCGGCCTGATGCCTCTACTCGGCCTGAAGCCTCTACTCGGCCTGATGCCTCTACTCGGCCTGATGCCTCTACTCGGCCTGATGCCTCTACTCGGCCTGATGCCTCTACTCGGCCTGATGCCTCTACTCGGCCTGATGCCTCTACTCGGCCTGAAGCCTCTACTCGGCCTGAAGCCTCTACTTGGCCTGATGCCTCTACCCAGCATGATGAACTGATCCAGCCTGACGATCCTATTAGGCCAGTTGACTCGATGCCCGCTGTTGATCCAGATGATCCGGTACCTGATCCGGTGCCCGCTGTCGAGCCAAATGACCTGATGCCTGGTGACCCAGTGCCCGCTGTCCAGCCAGACGATCCAATGTCTGACCCAGTGCCCGCGGTCATACCAGTTGACTCGGAGCCCACTGCCTTGCCAGATGACGCGGTGCCCGCTGTCGAGCCAGACAATCCGGTACCTGATGACCCGGTGCTCACTGTCGTGCCTGTTGACTCGGAGCCCACTGCCTTGCCAGATGACGCGGTGCCCGCTGTCAAGCCAAATGACCTGATGCCTGGTGACCCAGTGCCCACTGTCCAGCCAGACGATCCAATGTCTGACCCAGTGCCCGCGGTCATACCAGTTGACTCGGAGCCCACTGCCTTGCCAGATGACGCGGTGCCCGCTGTCGAGCCAAATGACCTGATGCCTGGTGACCCCGATGACCGCTGTCCAGCCAGACGATCCAATGTCTGACCCAGTGCCAGCGGTCATCCCAGTTGACTCGAAGCCCACGGTTGTTGTGCCTGGTGACTCGGTGCCCCCGCCGCCCCGCCTGGGGGCCTGAGACCTGTCGTTCCGCCTGGGGGTCCGGCGCCCGCCGCTCCGCTTGAGGGCCCGAGACCTGTCGCTCCTCCTGGGGGTCGGCGCGCCCGCCGCTCCGCCTGAGGGCCCGAGACCTGTCGCTCCGCCTGGGGGTCCGGCGCCCGCCGCTCCGCCTGAGGGCCCGAGACCTGTCGCTCCACCTGGGGGTCCGGCGCCCGCCGCTCCGCCTGAGGGCCCGAGACCTGTCGCTCCATCTGGGGGTCCGGCGCCCGCCGCTCCGCCTGAGGGCCCGAGACCTGTCGCTCCTCCTGGGGGTCCGGCGCCCGCCGCTCCGCCTGAGGGCCCGAGACCTGTCGCTCCGCCTGGGGGTCCGGCGCCCGCCGCTCCGCCTGAGGGCCCGAGACCTGTCGCTCCATCTGGGGGTCCGGCGCCCGCCGCTCCGCCTGAGGGCCCGAGACCTGTCGCTCCGCCTGGGGGTCCGGCGCCCGCCGCCCCGCCTGGGGGCACGATGCCCGTCGCCCCGCCTGGGGGCACGATGCCCTGTCGCCCCGCCTGGGGGCACGATGCCTGTCGCCCCGATGCCTGTCGCCCCGCCTGGGGGCACGGTGCCTGTCGCCCCGCCTGGGGGCCCGGTGCCTGTCGCCCCGCCTGGGGGCCCGGTGCCTGTCGCCCCGCCTGGGGGCCCGGTGCCTGTCGCCCCGCCCGGGGGCCCGGTGCCTGCTGCTCCGCCCGGGGGCCCGGTGCCTGCTGCTCCGCCCGGGGGGCCCGGTGCCTGCTGCTCCGCCCGGGGGCCCGGTGCCTGCTGCTCCGCCCGGGGGCCCGATGCATGTCGCCCCGCCCGGGGGCCCGGTGCCTGCTGCCCGCCTGGGGGGGCCCGATGCATGTCGCCCCCCGCCCGGGGGCCCGGTGCCTGCTGCTCCGCCCGGGGGCCCGATGCATGTCGCCCCGCCCGGGGGCCCGGTGCCTGCTGCTCCGCCCGGGGGCCCGGTGCCTGCTGCTCCGCCCGGGGGCCCGATGCATGTCGCCCCGCCGGGGGCCCGGTGCCTGCTGCTCCGCCCGGGGGCCCGATGCATGTCGCCCCGCCCGGGGGCCCGGTGTGCCTGCTGCTCCGCCCGGGGGCCCGATGCATGTCGCCCCGCCCGGGGGCCCGGTGCCTGCTGCTCCGCCCGGGGGCCCGGTGCCTGCTGCTCTCCGCCCGGGGGCCCGGTGCCTGCTCCGCGCCCGGGGGCCCGGGCCTGCGGTGCCCGGGGGCCCGGTGCTGCCGCCCGGGCCCTGGGGGCCCGGTGCCTGCTGCTCCGCCCGGGGGCCCGGTGCCTGCTGGCTCCGCCCGGGGGGGCCCCGGTGCCTGCTGCTCCGCCCGGGGGCCCAATGCATGTCGCCCCGCCCGGGGGCCCGGTGCCTGCTGCTCCGCCCGGGGGCCCGATGCATGTCGCCCCCGCCCGGGGGGCCCGGTGCCTGCTGCTCCGCCCGGGGGCCCGTGCCTGCCTGTGCCTGCTCCGCCCGGGGGCCCGGTGCCCTGCTGCTGCTCCGCCCGGGGGCCCGGTGCCCTGCTGCTCCGCCCGGGGGCCCGGTGCCTGCTGCTGCTGCTCCGCCTGGTGGCCCGCTGCCTGCTGCTTCGCCTGGTAAACCGATGTGCCTCTGCCCGGAGTCCTGCCCGATGTGCCTCTGCCCGGAGTCCTGCCCGATGTGCCTCTGCCCGGAGTCCTGCCCGATGTGCCTCTGCCTGATGTGCCTCTGCCTGGTGTGCCTCTGCCTGGTGTGCCTCTGCCCGGTGTGCCTCTGCCCGATGTGCCTCTGCCCGGAGTGCTGCCCGATGTGCCTCTGCCCGGAGTGCTGCCCGATGTGCCTCTCCCCGGAGTGCTGCCCGATGTGCCTCTGCCCGGAGTGCTGCCCGATGTGCCTCTGCCCGGAGTCCTGCCCGATGTGCCTCTGCCCGGAGTCCTGCCCGATGTGCCTCTGCCTGGTGTGCCTCTGCCTGGTGTGCCTCTGCTCGATGTGCCTCTGCCCGGTGTGCCTCTGCCCGATGTGCCTCTGCCCGGAGTCCTGCCCGATGTGCCTCTGCCCGATGTGCCTCTGCCCGATGTGCCTCTGCCCGATGTGCCTCTGCCCGGTGTGCCTCTGCCCGGAGTCCAGCCCGGTGTGCCGCTGCCCGGAGTCCAGCCCCGGTGTGCCGCTGCCCGGAGTCCTGCCCGGTGTGCCAGTCTTTGATATCCCGCCAGTTACCAGACCCGGGCGGTGGAACATTTTGCCCAGCTAGGACTGTTTGGAGCGTCCTGAGGCCGCTCCTTGAGGGGGGGGTACTGTTAGGAATGGACTGGCCAGCAATGGGGACTCACCTGCCTTTTGATCTGCAGTACCAGGGCTGGCCAGCGGGTGCTCCCAGCAATCAGAGACTCAACCTTTCAGCCAGCTAACACCTGGAACTGATGATACTGGGGTATTTAAGGGATGGCCAGACTTGCAGACTCTGCCTTGGTGTTGTGTTTGTCCTGGGCCCTGTATCTGTCCTGCATCCTGTTTCTGTTCCTTTGCTGACCCTGATCTGAACTGCTGCTGACTTCTCCTGCTCTGATCCTGGCTTGTGACCCTGACCACCCCTCTGTCTGACCCTCTGTACCTCGCTGCTTGCTACCTGCTGAACCTGGCCTGTGACCCCGACCATTCTCTGCTTGCTCCCCCCGTACCTACCTGCCCAATTGATATTGACCCGGCCTGCCTGACGACGCTTGCTTGTATGTACTGTTATCTGTGGGTGGTTGGTTTGGTTTGTTTGCACTGTATTATGTTTAGTATTGCCCTGCGTTTATGTTTGTATGGTTAGTGTTAATAAATTATATTTGTTATCACATTTCTGAAGTCTGCGTTTCCCTGCATCAGTCACACATCTCTGGTCATACCTGGGAGCCCTGACAAGAGGCTGTACAGACTTAGGGACACATTACCATGTGTGGTGGGAAATGCCCAGTGGCCCGAGTCTTTTGGGATGAAATTTTCACCATGCTATCTACACTTAGCGCTATCACTCTACGACCTGATCCAACAACAGCCCTACTCAACCAGTTCTCCCCTGACGTCTCCAATTCGCAATTCAAGCTCCTTATGCAAGTTACAACAGCGGCTAAACAGGTTATAGTGAAATCATGGAAATCCCCCACTCTTAGTGTTGCTGCCGTCAAAACCAGAATAACACAAGCCATGATACATGCAAAGGTGGAAGCCACAATACTAGACATGATCCCTAAATTTTTGCACATATGGAACCCCTGGGTAGAGCACTTCCTCCCGCCTAACTTTGACGAATCACTCCTTCTCCCTTGATTTCTATACTGTGTGCCTAAGATACTGTCAATAGTCCTTCGTGGGCTACAAGTAGAGTCTGCTGTAAGTTAGTTGATTGTTCATGAAGTCATTGTTATTGTTCCTATCCCCATACCCCCCCTTCCTCCCCGTCTGACCCCCCTCCAAACTTCCCCCTACTTCTTAAATGCACTTAGGAGATGTTATTTCGATTGGCTAGGACGATAATGTCATCTATTGTCGACTTTTATGTTCCTGCTTTTGCTAGAATTGTATAGACATCTGTAATGTGTTCCACATTCATTTTTCTTCATTGTCCTACTGCCTCTTCAATGTCCAATGTTTATCAGCAAAGTCTCCTTGTTTGTGCTGTTAAAATTTCTCTCTTGTTAATAAAAATGTTTGAACAAGAAATGGTATTGGAGACCACGGGAAGCTATCAGCTGACCTAAGGAAGAAGTGTAGATCGAGAATAGGAGAGGTCCAAGGACAGAACCTTGGGGGACACCGACAGTAAGAGGCGTAGAAGAGGAGGAAGTAAAGTTGTATGCAGGGGCGGACTGACAACTCATGGGGCCCTCGGGCAATAGGGGATCATGGGGCCCTGTGTCCTTGCCAAAGCTCAAAAAGCCTATGAAAAAGGTACCAGGGGCATCTCATGGGGCCCCCTACTGACCCCCGACCCTTGGGCAGTGCCCGAGTTTCGAAATGGTCAGTCCGCCCCTGGTTGTAGGTGACACTGAAGGTACGGTGAGATAGGTAAGATTCGAACCAACAGAGAGTACAGTCATGGAGACCAAGTAAATAGAGTTTTTTGAGGAGGAGGGGCTGGTCAGCTGTATCAAAGGCAATGGAGAGGTCCAAGAACAAGAGTAATGAATAGCGACCATTGATTTTAGCAGTTAGTAAGTCGTTTGTGAGTTTTAGGAGAGCAGTTTCTGTGGAGTGTTGTGGGCAAAATCCAGTTTGAAGAGGATGAGAAGGTTATTCTCAACAAGGTGGCAGCTCAGCTGGTTGTAGACTAGAAGTTCAAGGAGTTTGGAGGCAAAAGGGAGTAAGGAGGAGGGTCTAAGGTTGCTAAGATTGGTGGGGTCCAGTGAGGCTTTGTTTAGTATGGGGGTGACTAGCGCAATGTATTAGAGAGTTTGGGAAGATGCCAGAAGAAAGGAAGAGATTGAAGACGTGAGTTAAAGAATGAAGGATAGAGCCAGAGGGTGACCGTAGTATTTGCGAGGGAACAGGATCCCGGGGACAGGTGGTTAGGTGGGTTTTAGAAAAAAGTTTACCAACCTCCTCTATAGTAGCTGGGTTAAACAAGGGAAGTATAGATTGTGCAGGTGGACAAGGAGTGCAGTGTGAGGGAGATATCTGTATATTGGAGATCCCATCACGAATTGTATCAATCTTATTTTTTAAGTGATTAGATACTACACTATTGGTACCATCTTGCCTTCCTGGCTCGTTATTTTACGGGCCCCTTTAAGGTGGATTTACTTCTGGAGTCTGAACGGCGTTGGATCCACTGGTGAGTCTGAGGTGGACCTTGAGCGTGACTAACATCATCTTCGAGAGTCCACCACTGCGCTTGATGACATCACACCGGTGACCAGACCCTGATGCCTTTACAGAGTATATGCATACAATGCGCATTTTGTATTTATTTCTGGTAAGCACATTACTATACTATACCATTACTACAAGGAATTTTGATTATTAAGGTATACAACCTGACCAGTTCAACTACTGGTGGACTAATCTATCACCTTACGGAATATTTAGTACCAATGCATATAGTCTGACAAGTTCAGCTATTGGAAGACTTTTATCTGGGACTGTCTTTTAACTGATGAACATTTCTACAAACGTACATGAATCATTGTCTTGTATGTTAACATTTAGTGCTGCATACCCAATATTTGAATTTTGACACTGAGGTGCTGAGGTATACCTTTTATGCTAGCAGCTTCTTATCAAATTTGCCTAACTTATCTAGTCGCGCTCATTCATCTTGTTTTATTTACATTATATCCCTCTATAGTGTGTATTAAAGCGGAG